TATTTATGATTTGCACTCTTAATATATCCTTCTAAATTGTTGGATCGTTTCAGCAGAATATAATATTGGACTGTACCATATCAAAAAGCTACTAAAGTCATTTCTGGTAAATTTGTGGATTGGATCATTTCTGCATAACTACGTCCAATTGTACTAGATGTAGTACATTCTCGAAGAATCTGGTTCTCTAAGACACTGGAAGCAAAATCTAGTACTTTTTTCCTTGCCTGCAGCAGTATTCACGTGTAAAATAAATATTGTGTTCCTTGTTAGTGTTCGTTATCCATAAAGATCCCCTTTTTTGCTCTTCAATGAATTATACGTCACTGCAAATAGAATTCGAATAATCTGGTACATTTAAGCAATCTGGTACATTTTTTAGACAAATGTGGTGCATAACAAAAACATATTCTGGCAACACTGTTCAAACTATTTTAATTATGCTCATTTAAAAAAAATGTGTTTAATTAAGAACTGCGACTTTAATAAATTGGAAGTATGTGTGTCAATTCAACGATTGTTCAAAAAAAAACATCTTTAAGACAAGGTAAATAAAATTATTTTTGAGGTTATGTTGTTTTATTTACATATAATTTAATTTTACGACTCTAATTTTTGTTTTATATATTGTTTCAGTGTCTAAGACCATTCTAAGACTACTTCAAAATGGTCATGTTTTTTGTACTGTAAATACTATGAAGAAAGAAGTAAGCAAAAAATTTGTGATTTTTTGTTTCCCACAAATGCCTCTGAAAGGAAAAATTGGATTATTTTGATAAATAAATATGGAAACCTAAAATAAACGTTGGATATAGGAGATAAGATAAAGAGACAAATGGTTTTTAAATTTATCAATGTCAATCAGAAAAATGAATCAACCCTTTGAATTTAATATACTCATAATGAGAAACTTTGCGTTGCATTACCTAAGAAATTATATTTACATTCAAACAGTTCATATAAAGTTCTGTTTGCCTGTAATTATCAATCACTAGCGTAGATTGTGTGTTGCGTACAAACCTGAAATCTTTTATTCTAATGATATTTTTTTTTATTAGCTTGTTTGTATAATTTAGTAATTTCAAAAATATTAGGTGTATTAGTAATTTAGATCCCTGCAGGTATTAAATAAAAATAAGGCTGTTGGAAAATTAATTTACAGTTGGTAATAAAGTATGTCTCGAAAACAGCAATAAGTATCAAATATTCATTTTGATTATGCCATGCCACTTATCTACATTCTCTGGGTAATCAATCCTATAAGTACATATCAAAATATTAATATTCTATCTACAATTAAACAATAATTTTAAAATACAGCTGAAGCTATAAAATTTTGTTTTTTCATTCTGTTATTTATTAAACACATTATTTTTTAGTAAACATGGACTCAGTTGTGCAAAAGTCAGCAATGAAGGTAGGAAAATAGCCAGAAAAAAAATACTTTGGATAACATTTTACAATATGTATTGTGGTCGTAATTTACAAAAAATGTAAACAAAGTTCTGGGCTATAAAATAAAAAATGTCCAAGAGATGGTTTTTGTTTGACATGCGTGTCATGATATATTGGAAAAAAACAGGCAGAATACATTTTTGAGATCAAGAGGAATACATTTTCCAATTCCATCATTATACTTGCACCATTATAGAAACGATTGGAAACTGGATTTTCGGGGCTGCCGAATTCAATTCTGGCATTAGATTTCCCCGGGGGCGCTCGGGGGTGGCTCTGTGGTGTTGTGTGGGGGTGATTGGTGAGGAAAAATGGCAGCGTCCATGAAAATCGCCGAATCTAGACGGGTTCTTGCTGAAGCCGCCTTCCGCTAGAGTTCCTGATGTGTATTCTTCCGAGTGCTTAGCATCCAGAAGTGTGTGCATCAGGTTTCATATATTATTTCTGTATGCTTTTACTGGATGCGGCACAACCTCAGCATTTTTCTATCGAGGGAAAGTAAAATTCTGCGATTTGTTTGAGAAATCCGATTATTTACATGGGTTTGCAGAAATATTTAAGCATTGATAATTGAGCTCGTCCCAAGCTATCGAGTAAAAATGTATGCTGAAGCCACCAATTTTAAAAAAGTCGATCTTACACGCATAATCCCGGCTGCCAATGCGTTAATCGAGCATATCAGTCTATTTCCAAGTACAGACTTGGTATGGTTCACAAAGTCAAGACGAGACCTTAGATCCGTTGGAATGGGGATGGGAATTGGTGAATGGAGAGCTCAGTCCTATCACCATGACCCAGAAAGCCGGTCCCGAGGAAATTTTAAGCAACATTTCTTGTTCTTGTGGCACGAGGTACGGGTGCCGCACTTCCAACGGGGCCGAGAATAGTTACGAGGAAGAAGATGAAGAAGGGGAAGAAGAAGAAGAGTTCGAACAAGATGTTTAGTATTTAAGTTAAACATTTAAGTTTATAATGAATAATTCAACATTAATAAAAACTCCTATTTGTTATTTGAATAAAGTATTATTTTCATAATCACTTTCTCCTTTACCATTTCCCACAGAGCCACCCCGAGCGCCCTCGGGGAAGTCTAATGCCAGAATTGAATTCGGCATCCCCAAAAACCCCCGAGTAACGATTTTGGAGTGATTTTCATGGACGCTGCCATTTTCCCCCCAATCACCCCCAGACAACCCCATAGAGCCACCCCCGAGTGCCCTCGGGGAAATCTAATGCTAGAATTAAATTTGGCATCCCCGAAAACCCCCGAGTAACGAGTTTGGAACGCTTCCCATTGACTATGCAATTTTTCCCCCAGAGTGACACCCCCGGATACCCCCGCAGCCCCCGGGTAATTCCAATGTCAGAATTGAATTCGGCATCCCCGAAAACCCCCGAGTACCGAGTTTGAAGCGATTTTCATTCACACTGCCATTTCTCCCCAATTCACCCCCGCGCACCCCCACAGAGTCACCCCCGTGCACCCCCGGGTAATTCTAATGGCAGAATCGAGTTTGGCAGCTCCGAAGCCTCCCCCCCCCCCGAGTAACGATTTCCGAGCGATTTTTCCGAGTTTCCAGTCGTTCCTATAATGGTGCAAGTAATGATGCAATTGGAAAATGCATTTTCCGGCCCAGAAGGCATTTTTCAAAAAATGGTTAAACCAGACGATATAGACTTTTGTCCTGGGACCTTCCTATAATGCAGAAAACCGCATCTCGATATCTGCTGTCCCTAAAAATTTCCGCTATTTTTCCTAACTTCCCTGGACTAAAAAAAGTTTTAATAGTTAGATTATTAGTAAACAATATATATTGTGATAATAATTGGGGATAACTGCATTTCTTGTCGAAATATAATTAATATAGGTAAAAATGGAAAACAAAAGTGTCCAAACAACATTCAGTTTGCTCTACTAAAAAGTTGACTAGTATAACTTTAATTTACCTCCGAAGCACTGATTACCCATCAAATTTTTTTCAAAACTTTGACTTAATCATTCTTTTGTTGTACCTATGTTTTTAGTCTATTATAGTCCCACATAAAAATAAAATAAACATTTTAGTTCACTTGTTTTATTTACCAATAAAAGGCATTTTTAAAAATATGACGTGTGTGACAAACTGTGAAAATGATTCAATTTACAATAAAACAGAAACGGTAGGTCAAATTTCATATAATAATATTAGGCATTCCAACGACCTGTCCAAATCGCTACCAGTGGGGACTGACAGTTTAGATATGGCAACCCTGTTGTCATGTTGTCATTAACAGGGTCAATGATACCTATATAGTTATATAGATTGCTCAAAGCTGGTCGTTTGCGAGCGGCCATATTGCCCGGCAAATATTTATTAATTTGAATCGGTTTAGCAAAAATGTGTTTTAAAACCAATTTTCAGCCTTTAGATATTTAAAAAATAATAATTGCTTACTTTTTTACTTCAAGGCATAAGCTTATGTTAATTTTAAAAAATATGGATAATCAATCTATTTAACTATCTATTTCATTGACCTTGTCAAATCACCAGCCCTACAGGGTTGGCATAATTTTGCCATATCATAACCTGTCAAAACCCATTAGTTTGGAATGCCTAATTATTACACAAAAATCAATAAAGCTTTTTGCATAATCTGATATATATTCAAAAATAATCTCAAAATTTGAAAAACAGTCAGCTTACTATGACTAATAATGTTTATAGATGGTTTTTAACGTATTAAAAACAAAACAAATATTACAATAACTAAAATATTCACTTTTTACCATAACAGAACCAATAATCCTATCTTCTTTAATGTAAATCATATGTTTGTGTACACACTCCCCTAATCTATGGGTCACTCTGACTTTGATCCAATGTTGCCATAATTAATAGATTTCTACTTTTTTGACTATACCTATAAATTTTATTTTATTTTACTCACTTCAGCGTCTTTTTGTCTCTTAAATTTTTTTCGTAAGTTGGTAGGTATCTTAATTAGTTTTCGAGGAAAAAATTCAAACAAACAATTATTTTGCACGTCTCTGAATACCTGGACTCTGTACGTCAAAAAAAGCGAAATTGCATCATAGTTTATTTCACAAAGTACCTTTATTTTTCGATGAAATAGCAACTGGCGAATTGATGATATAAACTGGACCACCCTGTAGTATAGTTACTATTGTTTATTTACAATAAATTTTGAAATTTATCTATACCTACACAGGAATTTGTTCTATTTTTAATTTTCTATTAGATTTTTTCTCCTCTCTTAATTATTACTTCTAGAACGTGCTAACAAAAAAATAAATACTAGACAGGTAAATTATTATAGGATTATTTTGGTTTAATATTCTTTAAATTTTTAAGACACCTATGAATAAAAATATATGAAGGAATCAATGTGAACACACATTATTAATAAACTAACGATCCACAACACCTGATACCAGAAATATTTTTCAGGTTAATTTTATATTTAGTTCACTACAAATTTATGCAAGATTTATATTAAATTGTAACAAAAAATTAAACACAAACTAGGTAAAAATTAAAACTCACCTAAGTAAATTTATTTACAGTAACAGTAACTAATTATCACTTTTAGTAAAGTTTAAATATTTGTAAATAGAAATTAAGGTTATGTTCAACATTGAATAAAACGGGAGCGCGAGCGGAGAAGTCAACGGACAGACGCGCAATGAGCAATGAAAAAGATAAAACTGGAAATTCTACATGTAATTGAAACCTCTCCGCAAACTACTCACTCCTCAACTAAACCACAATAACTAAACAAATAAATTTCGTTGAGTAATGGTTGAGTAGTCAATTTATTATTGGAATGGAATGATTGTTCAGGGTCGCAGTCAATGGGAAGGAGGAAGGAAGGGTGTTATCCACGATTTCGCCTCAATTGAGAAAATATACCCTTTGTTGGAATGTTTAAAAAAATGTTGAATAAAGAACTAATATTATGCCATTTAATCCTTCAGCTACTTCAGGGAATCGCTCCACACCAAACCAACAAAAGAACAACAAAACAGCAACTGAATGCTTCTCAATATTTTTATTTATCTGAGAGTTATGCGCATAATTTTATGCCTCCCGAGATGCCTCCCCATTTTGATTGTTCCTTTATAAGGTCTGTTCGGGTTCTTTAAAATACATTGAAAACTATCAGAGGACTAGTTGACCAGTGGACAACAATTGTAACTGATCAACAATCAATAGCAACTATCTTCAATGAACATTATGTTACTGTTGGTAAAAAACTAGCGGATAAAATAACACCCGATCCAAATTATTTAAAGATAGATTTACACAGCCACATTCAAATTCTTTATTTCTTAGACCGACAACCCCATTATAAATGATCTGAAAAACAAAAAACCGCCAGGTGAGGATGGTATTACCGGGGAAGTCATCAAATGTATAGCACGATTTATATCGGATCCTTTCTCATATTTAATAGATGTATCGAAAGTGGGTACTTTCCTACTGCGTTTAAGACGTCTGTTGTAACTCCTATCTTTAAATCAGGCGATTCCTCAAATGTCATTAATTATAGGCCAATTTCTCTAATAACCGCTATTTGAAAAATTATTAAAAAACCGACTCTGTTCGTACCTTGATAAAAATAACACAATACGGATTCCGCACAGGCATATCAACACAGGATGCAATACTTCATCTAACCTCAAATATGTACTCGGCTATGGATAGAAATAACAAAGCATTGTGTGTCTTTATTGATCTGTCCAAGGCTTTTGACACGGTCAGTCATACCTTGTTGATAAATTCTCTGGAAGAAACCACTAAACTTTTCAAAACTTACCTTACTAATCGTCAACAGTTTGTCTTAATCGATAATCAGCGGAGTGAAGTCCGAAAAATAACCTTTGGAGTGCCACAAGGATCAGTTCTCTATCCGGTACTTTTCAATATCTATTTAAATAATTTATTTTCGTTGGAAAAAGAAGGGGATATTACTGCCTACGCTGATGACACATTTTCTATGAAGCTAGGAAATGGGAAGATCTCAAAAAAAAATCTGAAAAAGATCTTCAAAATATTAACAAATGGTTTAATTATAAGCTACTTACCGTTAACTTCTCCAAAACTGCACTTTTGCCCATCCATGTTGATGTTAGAACAGCGCCTACTTTTAACACACTTAATGCCACAAATGAAATAACAATAGACTCTGTAAGTGAATTCAAATACTTAGGAGTTATTTTAGATCAAAATGTAAAATGACATAAACACATACAATTCGTAATTAAAAAAATTCAATTTCTCATCCATAAATTTAAAATCTTAAGAAACATCTTAGATTCCAAAACATTAAAAATTGTATACACATCTTTGGTACAATCACATCTATCTTACGGTATTTTAGCATGGGGAAGCGTAGGAAAGAGTGTTTTAAGCAATTTGGAAATCGTGCAAAAACGAATACTTAAAATAATTTTCAAAAAAGACTTTCGCTATCCTACCGACACGTTATATAAGGAAAACAATGTAATGGACATTCGACAACTATACTTTTACTTTAGTAATATTTATCAACAAAAAACAAGGGATTATTTAAGTTCAACAACCACGTATACAGCACTCGAAACAAATACAAAAATATTGTTTTAACAAAAAAAAAAAAGTACCGTACAAAAGTGTTATAGCTATCTTGGCCCTAAAATGCATGACTGGCTTCCATATACATTTAAACAAATTAAATCCCTAAACAAATTTAAGAGAGATTTAAAACAATTTATTTTTCAAATTTCGAGAGAAACAATCCACAATTTTTTTACTTAATTGTTAACAACATAGGTACTGTCAGTCTTGGTTCTTCTTACCTTTTATCGCATCTCTATTTGCATGAATTTCTATTTTTTATTTAAATATATTTTTTATATTAGAATTTTTATTAATTATATCAGAACTCTGCACTCTTCATATATAATTACCTATAAATTTTAATTCTTAACATTCATGCATCTGTCGTCCTTGGGGTCGCCTCGGTGGTCTCCTGTCTCCTGACGCGCCTTCCCAAATGGCACCTTAAATGTAAGTCGTAAGTTACGTTCTCAGACATACACTGTGATTGCATGATTGCATTGTGAATAATGGATCGGTAATTTTTGGCTTGTAGCATATAAATAAAAGGTTAATAATATTGACAACTAACAGGTGTAGTATTCGCTCCAGATCATTTTTTTTATGCAGCCATGGCCATTTATCGGCGAAGATGGGTCACTAATGCCGACCCATCTTGGATTTTACATCACTCATCACTGTCAGTAGTCACAGTTTCCACTGTTATGTCAAATGTCTGAAACTGCACAAAACTACACAAAACTACACAAATTCATTGTGGAAAAGTTCACATTCAAAAACTGGTATGAAACAACCCTGCTCGCATCCATTTCATTTGTTTGAATGCATTTGAGGAAAGCGTTGTGCCGTGAAATTGTTCAACCCAAAATATTAACAGTAAGGGGTAGATGCAGATATCCTTATTTTTAAGACATATTTTTTATTTATATTATTATAAACATAATGTATGTTGCATAAACATTATAAACTAAGAAAATATAGTATAAAGTGATGTAAAAAGCAGTTTTTATGGGGTAAATACTAAAAACTACTTATTTACGTTGCGTAGGTATTTCTAGTTATTATTATAGTACTATTTTAATAAACGTATTCTAAGTTACTTTAGCACTACAAGTATTTGAATTTAACGTAGAAAATGCAATATATTAATTAAATTAATAGAACTTGTAACGGAATATAAGTATATATTATGTTATAAGAAATTATTTGATGATGTAGATCTATGACCAAATTTGAGTAAAATGTGTCTCATTTTCGTTTGTACGAACTTGATACAGAACGATATACATTTTAGATTATTCAATAATTAAGGGTGGCGGCCGGCCGTATCTCAGAATATCTTAAAGTATAATTTTTTTGAAAGAAACGCAAAAACAGGTCGAATTCAGCAATATGAATGTTCATTGCGTTCCTTTTAATTATAGCGCCGTCTAGCGGGATAAAAAATTATTACCTATGGTAAAGTGTGATACTTCAACAATGAACAGTCATATTGCTCAATTATTCATAAAATTACCTTTCCGACGATGTGTCATACTTGGTACTTTCCCTATTTAAATTGTATTGGTTAGATTGACGTAGAGGAAAGGACTGACGTACCTATGACAGTTGAGGATATTATAGAAAGGTTTCGCCCTTGAAATAAAAATCGACCTGGTTTTGCGTTTCTTCAAGATATACTGAGATACGGCCGGCCACCACCCTTAATGAATCACCCTGCATAATGCTTGTAATTCTATATTATACTCTTCAAATTTTAACAGACCCCCTTAACCCCCATTTTCAATCAGATTTTTTTTAGAATCAATAGGCCTCATCCCTTTATAAAGCGTGATTTTCTTGAATTTTTCAATTTGATATCGTTTTCTGTTTCTGAGTTAGGATTTTCATCAATATTTCAACCCCTCTTATCTCCCCATTTTTATTTAATTGTTTATTTATTTCCTTATAGAGCTTAATTTCATGTTGATATCGCTTCTGATTCTTAATTTCTATCTCTTTTTAATTCTACCCCCCCTTGACTCACACTTTATTCAGATAAATAGGCTTTGTCCCTTTATAGAGCGTGATTTTTGCCAAAAATTGTAAGTTGATATTATTGTTCCTTTTTGAGTTATTTTTTTAAATATTTCAACCCCCTTAACGCCCCATTTTTATTCAGATTTTTATCAAAATCAATAGGCTTCGTCTCCTTAGAGAGCTAGATTTTTCCTGAAATATCCGCTTATTTGTATAATTCAGGGATAATTTTAACCAAATTTTACAGAATACGCCCCTATGGCAATTATTTTCTTTAGTTGGTGATTTCAGCAACTTTTCATTTTCCTGTCGCCTGTCGGTAAAGATCAAAGTTTTGATGTTTTTTCTGCATTTGTGACAACTCTTTTCGTCTAGTTTTGCTTGTTTGGGGTTCTATAACTGCGGATTTTACATCCATTCGCCTATCTTTATTTTTCGTCTAGTTCTCGTGTGTAAAAAGCTCGACAAGAAAGAGAACAAAAAAAAATTGTGGTCTGCAGTTACGCAGCTGAATTTCTACTAAAAAAGTGAAAAGAACTGTTGAAAATACGTACCAATTAAATGAATTTTTTAGAGAAGTTCGATTGTTAAGGGACACCGGACACTTCTAATGAAAAAATCGCTATTAAAAATCAGGCCATCTTAAAAAGTTTTCCACTAAGGAGCCATCCATAAATTACGTCACATGATTTTTTGACCCCCCCCCCCCCCCCACCTTGTCACAGCTGGTCACATTTGAGAGACTAATAAATTAATGTAGTTCCGAAACTAGTTGTATTTCCATTTAAATTAATTTTTAATATAATCAACATCAATCCAAATATTTTAATACTTAGACATATTAGATTTTGAAATGTGACATCACAAAATTTAGGATCTCTCCCACTCCTTGTCACACTTCTTCGACCCCCTCCCTCCTTAAGGTGTGACGTAATTTATGGATAACCCCTAATACCGATAGCATCTTTTCGTAAATCTTCCAATAAATCCTCAACATAATATTTTGGTCGGTTGTTTAAGGTCGGACAATGATCTAACCCAAAAACGTTGTTTTCTTTTTTTTGGGTTAACGATAGAAAACCGGTTGCCATAATATCATGTGGTTCTTGCAATTCTACATTTCGAGAACGCCATATTTTCTTGCAGTTGTTTTCGTATC